GCACTGTTGCATATCTGATGCCATACTGCAACTCATGTTTCAGGGCGACGTGTGGGCTATTTGTTGGAGACTACCTGCACAAAGACTGTTGCATCTCGGTCGTGATGGTTTGACAGAACGTGAGTCTGAAACAGCAGCCTCGCGCCCAAGGTGCAAAGTAGGGGCTCAAGTACATTTTCAGACGTTGAGCCGATAAACAATGCTACCTTCCCAAAGCTTGAAGACTTAACATTTATCAGCATGCCTCGCTTTCGGGTGTGAAGTGTAGGTCGGAATGCGAGAAGTTTGCGTCTGAATCACGACTGATGAACAGTTTCTGAGAGCTCAGAGTCTCCCGGTCCCACTACCTGTGCTCAGAAGACAAATTATCTCTTGCATGAATTCTGAATGACACACTATTCGGAGAAAAAAAAACATGCGCGCCCATGCGCAGACATCCCGCTCAAGAAAAGCCATGAATTGGATTCTCAAAACAAAAAAGGAACTTGGCGCTGAAATGAAGAAGACGTTCAGGCAGAGGACGCCTAATGTACGCTGCGAACCTGAGGGATTCTCATGAAGTATGTTGACGTCCTGAACTAAACCTCAGCCTTGAAGCCCCTGAAGCAGGGCGCGGGAGTTGCCTCCTCAAAAGGTGCGGACCTTGGCGAATGAGAGGGGCTTCTTTGGGAGTGTCTTGATACGCCTGCGGAGCATTGGGAGCCCCTAATTTGAGAAATGCTCACGTACCGAATATCCTAGGCTTAGTAAAACCCCAGCCTACTGCTGGTACTGCCGCTGTTTGCATCTCCATGCATCAGTGCTTGATGATTGGCTCCTTGGACTCTTAGGGGTTGGCTTGCGCCTCCCAGATTTAGATGCCCAAAAGGCACACCTCAGGGGTTTCTGCAGCATATATTGTATTCGTCAATAGAGGCAGGCAAGAGTCTTCTAAGGATGGGTGTATGCTCACACTAGACCCTTGAATGGGACAATCTAGCCATAAGTACCGTGACCTCAACAAATGCGCTTGTCTCAAATAATGAGGGTCTTGCTCTGGGGGGGTCAGGATCGCCGGGTCCCGTGAACCCGCTGCAGAATCGGCCAAAGCATGCCAGAAGTACAGGAGTGCAATATATAAACTTCAGCAATTCGGAATGGTATTGTTCAAATCCTACTTACACTACATAGCTCTGTTGAAGGATGCCTGCACACCATCTCCGGATCAGCTACTCAGATTTCTGTACACTACCCAGTATGAGTAGCCTCAGAGGTGGGACCGCACACCACATCTTCCAGATCAGCGCCCGAAGGTTTCTAGGCAACAAATCCTCTACGCCTTTTGTACCTAGCAAGCCCGAACGCCCAACGCCCTAAACTGGGACGCGCGGGACGCTCTGTGGAGGTTCTCTGAAAATGCACGTTCCTTTTCTGGACTTGCCGGTGCCAAGTTCTGAGCTAATCCCCTTGTGAGACTTCTCCCTAGTCTCGTCAGAAAACCCTTTGAGGATCCCTACCTAGGATTTGCTCCTGGAGAAAGTAGCTCTGGGCTCCAAGCCTGGCTTTTTGGCCGCTGCGCACAGTTTCACGGTTTATCCAGCATTGCGGCACCTGAATCAAGTTTCCTGATCAGGGATTAGGGCTTGAGGCGCTAGGCTTGATGATTTTAGGTTTGGGGCTCCAAGCATATGGCAGGTATGCTTGAAACACTGTAGCCAAACCCATGTGCAGCGCATCACAACTAAGGTTTGAAATTCCAGGCTAAGAAAATCAAGTACTCCTGAGACCAAAAAGAAACTTCAGTAAAGGCACTACTGTCCACCATCCTACATGTGTGATATGGTTTGTATGTAATGGGAATGATGACAGTGAGACACACCAGAAAATAGGTCTCCAGGGATTTAGAAACATCCAAGGGGCAGAGAATCATCTACTGTCCAAGCCCCAACCTACAATTCGACGGCATGAAGTCTGAACAGACCGTACGTGCAAGGGCAACTTTTTGCAAGAAGTGCCTTGGTAAGCTTGCAAGCTGCAAATGGTAGCTTCCCACAATAGGGGGATACTATAGTCCATATTTGGGGACCCCCAAAATGGTACCCCTAAATTTGGGAAACCTCCAAATATGCTTGAATGAACCGTCATGTACCTCAACGAAAGAATCTGCGTGCGGACAATCTACGGGGCCCCAAACTGATACTCTAGCGGGCCCAAATTGACAATCTAGGGGCCCCAAATTGACCCCAGCTCAGCAGGGCTCTGTTCACCCTAAACCCCTAAATATTCAGGGAACCCACCGTACATAATGTTGGGGTCAAAATAGTAAAGGCTTCGTAAAAGGAGGTTATATATAGAAATTAGAGGGGTTAAGAGTGATGCTCAGAATTAAGACTATGGCCCATGTGGGCTTGGGGCGGGTAAATCATATCTGGATAGTCTGGCCTGTGCTCACAAAATGGTGCATGGATGTCTCCAGAAAGGTTGGACTCTTGCCTTAGCGCACCCCCTTCCTAAGATAAACTGTCAAAGCTGAAGATGTATCATCTGCAACTCCTGCACTAAGATACCACGGAAACGTCGATGGCTCAAACAGTACACTCAAAGCCCATCGAAGGCCTGGCGTGCCATGGCTGCCATCCCCACCAGGCTTCCTTCGAAGATTTTCTGCTGTAGACTCCCTGCCCATGTCATGACAACTTACGCTGACTTGAAAGTCATGCGCTGCTGTGGCAAGCACGAGACATGTCATGTTACAACATCTGAATACCAAGCCTGCTCTGCTGAAGCCAAAGGTCAATGCTTCATCAGCGACATCAACTCTGGGTCTTTCTACTGCCAACATTCAACGCGAAGATGTTGCGCCGTGGCGGCATCACTACAGGTCCTTGGTCCTTGGATACGCGCTTCAATCATGACAGAGGATGTATCAGCAATGATTGATTTGGAGGATGCTGCGTCCACAAACGAAGCTCCAGGCTTGTAGATTTTTCCGTGCGCTGAAACACGTTGTGCAGCGTATGGCCTGTTGGAGGGTACCGCCAGTTTCATTGCACCATCTTGGTGCGTCAATACCACGGAGGTTACTGTGATTATCAAGCTGAGAGTCAATGAGGCTCCAAATAGAACCACAGGATGAAAGCTTTGGCTTGACAGCCTGTCGCTACGCAAGCCCTGAATGCCTACTGTTACTGTCAGAGGTTGGCAAAACAGTGTAGCCCCGTCTAGCTGACCCTGAGGGGGCGGTACGGCAAGCGATCAACAGGATACTGTGAGCAATGTTATGCCTTGCCTAATCAAGTTTGGAAGTCCTGGGATGCGGGCCCTGTTCACCTTCATCAAGGAATTCCGCACATGTTGAACCAATAGTTCTAGTATGCGTGCAGGATTGCCTTGTACACATGTGCCTGAACAGACCAGCCACTGCGGGCGAAACACGCCATCCTAATTCTGAAGAGGCAGCGGGCCGATTGTATCCCCGCTTCCGTCAGACTCTTTGGTGCGGTCTGCTGCCAGCGCTTGCGACAGTTTCTCACAAGTTGCAGCCGCTGAATTGGCAGTGCAGGACATTCTGAGACCCTTGGAAGTCTGGCTTGAATTTCACAGCATGCATGGGTATCATGGGAAACATGATTTCAGGGTCTAGGTTTGCAAATTCATCGCAACATGTGGGACCTCGCTGAGATGGCACAAGTACAAACTGTCAAAGCAGCCTCAGTGTGACATGATTCACTCTTACCCCCAGTAATGGAGAACCAAATGGAAAAGAACATGTGGGGTTAAAGCATTCTGCGAGGAACACCACATAATCATCCGTGCCTTGGGCTGCCGCGAGGCAGGCCACACCTAGAGACCTCACATTGAAGTTACTTTTCCAATTCCCTCGCTGCAAGGTTCGCATCTTGATGCATCTCGCCACAAAGCAATTAAATGCCTAGCACACGGCTCTACAGCAATATTATCCCTAAATAACCCCGATATAACCCCAATATAGCCTCTAATTTAAATCCTATATAATCCCCATAGTTTCCATCTTATTTTCCATTATCCCCAATATAAGGCTCTACAGCTTTTGGCCCACGCAGGCTGCAGCAGCCCTCAATTTCGGCCTCACTGCTGATGAATCTCTTCCTCGCGAAAATCCTAGCCAAACCAGGATAGCAACCCTGCTTTGTAATTGGGTTTAGGGTTTGACCAACCTGTGATTTTCCCATGGCTCTTCATGGGTGGGGAAGTAACCTCTGGGAAATGAGTCCATCTACCCCGCATCCAACCTTTGCTAAAATAGTTTTGAAGCACCGCATGGAAGGTGGTCTTACCGATAAACTCGTCCAAAGATAGACAGCATGCAAAAAATGCTTGTAGAGACAAAGAGAGGAACCCAGTTGGGGCCTCACTTCGACAGCCCCATGAAGGCTGCTCATCCGAAGATGTGGACTGCATACATCCTACGTACGCAGAGTATGCAGAGATGTCTCAAGAGACCGTTCTCTCCCACATGGACCGCCTATCATACATCTCCTGTGTCTGGAGTCTGGAGAGTCGGCGGCTAGTATAGAGCCTACATTAGCCTGTAGTCAAACACTCAAATACCCAAGGCAAGGAACTCCAGGCGAAACATTCAGACATACTATACTGCAAGCCCAGAAGATCAGTCAGTGCTGCCAAGCACGCCTGTTCCATGGCCCTTGTATCATCTACCACCAAGCGATGCAGGTTAGATAATGCAAAGAGCTGCACCAACCGTAAAACAATAATCCTGCACGTTGAGTGTAATGCCGCATCTGAGCAAACATGCTTCGTCAAACTGCTGAACAGCTAACCTGACTCCGAAACCCAACATGCCAAATTCCAGCCACGTCTTGATCCCGACTACCTGTCCTCAAATCGTCATGTGGAGAGAGCAAGCCTACACGAAAACGGTTATGCTATTTGGCGACTATGTTGGGAGCCAAGGGCCCTGAAAAGAAAGAACATGCGGAGTTATGTGCTACCCCTCCTCCCCCGGGAAAACATGCTGTGGCCTGCGCTTCTTTCCAATGTTCCACTGATGTCCCGACCTTCGGAGTTATGTCTTGTGGGCTGCAGCACAAAGGACTTAATGGCGATTGCATATGAGTGACGGTCAAAACTCCTTACACTAGGCAATGGACGCCAAATTGAGGGTGTCGCTTTTCAATGTTCCTATCGCTTTACAAGGTCCTGCACTTAAGCTGCGGTCGTGTGAAATTCGGGGTGTCGCTTCTTAATGTTCCCAT